CTTGGCTGGACAAACCACAATACGAATGGCCGCCGTCGACTAGCAAGTTCCGAGTTTCGACACATCCGCAATACGAACGGCCGCCGTCGACTTGCAAGTTCCGAGTTTCGACACATCCGGTCATCAACACCGGGGAACGTGCAGTAGAACCTACCACTATACATAGCTTTCCTGTTGAAAGTATCGACGGATAATTCATCAACAAGATTTCATCACGGACCCGTCTTTTAGGAGTAACTAGTTATAATTATCGCTTAATTTTCCCCTATGTCTACATCCAGTGCAAACGCTGTTTCCTTCAACGAAAAGACACCAGTAATCAGATTATGGGAGATCTATGATACCTCTACCTCGAGTTTAACCAATCCGCTGCTTTAAACATACCAGTTGTCCAACCCGTGAAACCAAGCCGCTTATGGCTATTATAAGCAATATTTTCAAACTCTGCATTTGCCTTTGTCTTCGCTTTTGGCTTTGAGGTCCGATCTTGGTTCCCCAGCTAAGTTAAACAAATCAATTTTGAAGTAAACATCAGCTTCCGTTCGAAGCCCAATCAATTGCGCCTTTTGCGCATCAATCTCGCCATCAATCTTCTTCAAAGGACAAATAGAAAGGTTTCATTCAACCCTACCCGAAATCATGAGGTCTCTCAAAAAGATAACGGGAGCATGATATTTGAGGACTTAAACTCTAAAGCAGTTCAGGAATATAATAAATCGATCCATTCTGTGACAAAAGGAAGCCTTTCAGACATATTTGTCACAAGCACAATCTCCAGTTCAGCAGAAGCCATAGAAAACAAGAAAGGAAGCAAACTTCGGCAAGCCGAAGTTCATATACCCTTGCAGCTATTGCAAGAATTACATTTTTTTGAAAGCATTAAAATTATGATTTACTTGCGTATATGTTTAAAAACATTGAAGCTATGATGATTTGCAGCACAATTATTAGATAGTTATTATATATATTTTTATTATTTCTATGGGAGCTGCATGATATAGTCGTCCGATTTTGATGAAACTTAAAACGTAATTCTGAAATATTTAACCATTACTATATGTCGAAGAACTAACAAAAAAATTAAATAACAGCAAAGTTGTAATTTTTTTTTATTTTTTTTTTTCGATTGTTCCTATGAGAGCTATATGCTATAGTCGTCCGATCCGGCTCGTTCCGACTTATATACTACCTGCAATAGAAAGACAACTTTTGGGAAAGTTGCATGCAGATAGCTTTAAAACTGAGAGACTAGTTTGCGTAGAAACGGACGGACAGACGGACGGACAGACAGACGGACAGACGGACATGGCTAGATCGACTCTCCTAGTGAGGCTGATCAAGAATATATATACTTTATAGGGTCGGAGATGTGTCGTTCACTGCGTTGCAAACTTCTGACTGAAATTATAATACCCTCTGCAAGGGTATAAAAACGAGAAGAAATAAATAAGGAAAAAAAAAATACAAACAATCAAGAAAAATACTACCATGAAGACTTTGAATGCCAGTCTATGGCATTGGGTTCCAACAAAGCTAAATGTAGCAGATACGGCCACGAAATTCATTTCTTTGAATTTGAAATTTAATTATAATTTTAATACTTATTAATTTTTTCTAAAAAATTATCGATTGAATGAACGATAAATTTTGACATCAATCGATGTGCATCCAGGAAGAGAGAACTATCGACAAGCAATTGAATCACGAGCCTCGAGAAGAGAAGAAGATTTTTTAAAGCTCTATGTAATTTTGAATATATTTTGAATATTTTATAAACCATCTTTTCAACTCAAATGCTGTTAGAAGGTTTGTTTTAATGGCCTTCTGTAATAACCACAATAAGGGAAAAAGACTACCAAAATTTTTTAAAACAGGCGAAACAGTCCACGTAAAAATAGATAAAAGGTTAGGATCTAAACTTACACCTAGATACAAAGGAAGCGGAAAATAAAACGACCACCATTAAAACACAAGCCGGAAAAAGCATACATAATGTAAGAAACTAATTTTTCAGATTTTATTTACCAACATGCTTGGAGATAACTACAGTCCTCGACTAATCTGTTTCACAAATCATCTCACTCGAAACCGAATTGCCGTCTTAACAAGCCGGAACATTTAAAATCATGCACATCTTCAACCTACAAAGCTCTGAAGAAACTCTGGCGAAGTTCGAAGGATCATTTTATTCACTCACCTCATCTCATCCATCTTTCCTATGAACTAAAACAGACCCAAACTGATTTACACATACTCCAAACTCAAAAAAGACAAAAAGGGAAATAGAAGCAAAAAGTACTGCATGGAAATGGATGGCGGGATCACCAGATTACCACGACTATCAGATTTTAGAAGATAAGATAAATGAGCAGTTAGAAGACAACAATAGACCAGTAGTACTTAACAGATTAATTAATCAAAAAATTAACCAACTTACTAATGCTACTAATGCAATACTGAAAGTTACCCAGAGCTCGGAAGAAATCGTAAATCAGAAAGCAAATATTTAAAAGTATAAAATTCAATTAATACAAAAAGAAACAAACAACATAAAATACGCAATTTTATGGGCCAAATCTTACACAATAAATTCAATTGTATTGACGAACACAAAAACCAAAATAGTGGAGGAAATTTTTAAAAAAGGAAATAACTTATATTTTACATAGAAGAATTATTGGAATATGCTCGAGTTAAATTTGCCACAAATGGCAACGACCTTATTTACATTATTAGCCTCCCAACCATTAAAACAGACAATTGTAGAGCTTTAAAAATTAAAGCAATAAAAAAATCTCAAATAATCAGTGAAATAAAATATGAAAATTGTGAGATAATTATTTGCAATAATTAAACCTTATGAATCCTAAAATAACAGTACAATTTGTAATTCAGAAAATTTGTTAGATTTAAGCAATGATACTTGCGTAAACGGTCTCTTTAGCCTTCGAGAACCAGAATGTAAGATGATCAACAATTAACACATAACGGATTTCGAAGAAATGCTGTCAGGCACCTTTTTAACGACTTCAATGGACCTGTCTCGCTAAATGAAAAAATTTTTCCTCAACTGTAAGGCTCTTTCATAATACAATACCGTTATTCAACGGTAACTATTGGCGAAACTACCTTCAAGTCAAAGGAAATCAACGTGGTCGAATCTGAATCTCCGTTATTCCAACTATTGGGAGAAAAAACGAAGTTAAAGGAAGTTTTCTCACTACAAATGGTCATGGAACGCAATACTAACAACACAAAAGCTCTGGAAAATTGAAGAAGCAATGCAACTATAGAATCTTCCGTTATCTACGGATACTCCATCATCGTACTACTACTTATAATAGGATCGATCACGGAACACCCACGACGACGTAGGTCAACGGACAATGCATAAGCTTCCGGGCCAGAAACGCAAGAAAAGCCCTCCCATTCAGGACCTGTACTCTACTACTTTGCGACCGAGGACAGTCGCGTTTAAGAAGGGAAGAGTTAACACAACAAACAGCAATTCAATTTACACCAACTTAGCCACGTGCGCTGAGCTTTCACCTTTTGGTCAGCGATCGTGGGAATGCAGAACAGTTGATCAAGCTGAGTGCCAATAAAAATAATAATTAAATTGCACTGGCCAATTACAATTAAGTTTGGCCAACGACCAAAGAGCAGCAACCTATGTCAGCAGAAACAGCAACAGCGGCAGAGACGGTGGCAGCGATGGAGCGACGCGTAGCTATAATTTATAATTTAATTGTTTAACTTAAGTAAATTAAGAAGTTTGATTTATTTTTTTTATAACAAAATCCTAATCAATCTTTGAACTTATACAATGTAAAACGACAAAATGTTGAAATACAAATTCATCTTGAATAAACATTTTTAATTTGTATAAATTTTTCTAATTTTTAGAAAAGTTTTCCTTGCTTCGAGGGCTTTTTCGCCTAGATTTTAGAAAGAAACGCCAGTAATTTTATAAAAATTAACCGTGGAATTTGAGGTGCGGTGCATTGAATTGAGGCACTGCCTATTTTTAAGCTAGGAACCCTAAAAATGTTCCTAAATGCCAAAAAAACTTTTACCTTAAAGTGAGTAACTTTTGGTATGCCTGTTATACCGTTGCAGAGGGTATTATAATTTCAGTCAGAAGTTTGCAACGCAGTGAAAGAGACATTTCCGACTCTATAAAGTATATATATTCTTGATCAGCATCACTAAGAGAGTCGATCTAGCCATCTCCGTCTGTTCGTCCTAACTAGTCTCTCAATTTTATAGTTAGCTGCATGAAACTTTCCCAAAAGTTTTTACGATCCCATAGAAAAAATCGGAAAAACAAATGAAAAAATTATAGCTTTGCTTTTTAAAATTTTTTTTTTAGTTTTTCGAGATGGTTAATTATTACAGAATTACGCTTTCAGAATTACACATTTCAGACTGACACAGGAACGATGGAATAATCGATCTGAAAATCATCAATGTTTTTAAACATATAAATTAATGTGTTTTTAAGAATATTTAATTTTTGCAATATCATAGCTGCAAGGTTATATATTCTTCGGCTTGCCGAAGTTTGCCTCTATTCTTGTTTAGGGTTAATTTAAATTTTAGTCTAAAACTGAAGGCAAATCGGTACTGGCTCCTTTTTTATGGCGATTTTTTAACACACAGGCAAAAATTTGATTTTTAGCGCGATTTTGGGTTTAAATTTATATGAGTGTATGCTAAATTGTTCGGGCAGTACGCATTCTTTTGAAGGAGCTATTTGCATATTATGGGCAAGACATATTCGAGTATTAATCCCTCCCAATAGGCGAATAATCGCAAGAAGCGCAAGAGGCCAAAAACAAGGAATACAAGAGATAAATACCTGCAAGTTTTCTCGAAAGGAACAAAACGAAAATTGGCTTGGCATTCTTCTAGCTTCCTCGGACTCAAAAGTTTCAGCACTAAGACTTGTAAGATCAATTCCGGATTTATAATTCCACTTGAGAAACGAGAGCGTTTAGCTTGAATAAGTTGTCAAAGTTGTTTACAAAATTGTTAAAAAGTGAAACAAAAAAAACACATCAGCTATCAAACAGGTGAGTGCTATTTTCATATCTTATAATTTGTGAAATATTTCCAATTCAAAAAGACATAGGACTGGAGCACATCGACACCTGCATTCTCCTAATTGAGAGTAATAATAATGTAAGTTTTTTATATAATTTTAAAATTATTTATACAGCTAATAAATATATTAATTTTTTTTAGAACAATACAATGGATAGCCCTTCAATAAATAAAATATTAGGAGAGGGTTTTTTTTTATTCACAATATGGATGGCGAACAAAAAAGCTCTCAGATCGTATTCACACTTTTTCTGCGCTTTAATGAGTAAATGTTTGTACCTTGTTGCTTGCATTTCATCAATATTTCATTCATTTAGATGCCAGCAGCTAGGGAAAGCGCTAGGCCATGCGAGGTGTGAAAAATGTACATGACTCGAAGAACAAAACAGCAAAGCCAAACGGACCCCTAGCATCCCCAACACTCCCAGAAGATTTTGATTATATCAATTGGCATTTATATTTCAATTTTAAAGTTATAAGTATGAAAAAGTAGGTTTTTTAATTTTTAACATTTGTTTCGAATAGCTCCTAATCATCTCTACCAATGATAAAAATCTTAACGTAAAATATACAGTAACTTCTTGGAGTTAAAAAAAATACTTGTATTTCTGACGCGACAAAAATGGAACTGCTATTTACAAAATAAGATAAAAACACAAAAGTCTACGAGCCTGGAAAGAGTTTTTGCACATCCTTTTTTTCAGTATTACCTAGAGTGTGCTATCATGGATATAACCAAATTTTATTGAAAACTTTTCGGAAGTAAATTTTATTTTAAATGGTTATAGATATCAGACGCGACAATTTAAGACGCGACAAATCGAACAATTTTTTGTTCCCGAAATGATCCAGAAATATATTTTGTTTAATTAAAATTCATCGTGCTAAGTTTTGCGAAAGTATTATATAAGTAGTATATCAGATAATATCTGACTTTTTGACGGCAGACATAAGAGTTAGTGATAAGAATTTAGTAAACGTCGTTCAGTTAATGCATAGTTCTTTAATAAATAAGTCAGTATTTGTACTACATATATTGCTCATTACAAAAATCTTATTACATTATTTGTATACCCTTTCAGTCAAAATTTTGCAACGCAGTGAAGGAGACGTTTCCGACCCTATAAAGTATATATATTCTTGATCAGCATCACTAGGAAAGTCTAGCTATGACCGTCTGTCCGTCCGTTTCTACGCCAACTAGTCTCTCAGTTTTAAAGCAATCTGCATGAAAGTTGTCTTTCTGTTGCAGGTAGTATATAATAGGAACAATCGGAAAAATAAATTAAAAAATTATAACATTGCTGTTTTCTAATTTTTTTTTAGTTTTTTGACAAATAGTAATAGTTTAATATTTCAGAGTTACGGTTTAGAATTCATCAAAATCGGACGACTATTGCATATAGCTCCCATATGAACAATCGGAAAAATAAAGAATATATAATAGCTGCAAGGGTATATGAACTTCGGCTTGCCGAAGATTGCTTCCTTTCTTGTTTATTTTTTTTTAGTCCTTCGACATATAGTAGTGGTTAAATATTTCAGAATTACGGTATAAATTTCATCAAAATCGGACAACTATAGCATATAGTTCCCATAGGCACAATCGAAAAATAAATGATAAACAATTATAACTTTGCTGTTTTAAATTTTTTTTTTAGTTCTTCTACATATAGTAATGGTTAAATATTTCCGAATTACGTTTTAAATTTCATCAAAATCAGCTTGCCGAAGTTGGCTTCCTTTCTTGTTAATTGTTGCAATAGCTGCAAGGGTATATGGACTTCGGCTTGCCGAGGTATATTTCTTTTCTCGTTTTTATTTTTAGTGCTGTTAGGCCTACATAAATTTCAAATTTGCTTTACGAGATGTGTAGTGTATTTTTCGTGTTCCTGAAACTTGGGCAACATTTTTCCATTTCTCCTGCAATAGTATTGATGTTTCGATTTCATTGGCACCAAAGTATATAAGTTGAATTCCGTTAATGTTGCCTTTTTTGCGCATTTTTTTTAAAGTCCAGCGGACTTGTCACTATAACTATAGCTCCAACGCTATCGAGCGCTCCTTTTCCATGAGAAGTAGCTAAATAGTTCTACTCAATATTTTGCAGCCAAAATAGTACAAACAATCTATTAAGCTACGGACGATAAATTTATTTTTAAATTGCGAACTGCTGCCATCAGGAAATATAAGGATATTTTTAAAAGTTCCACTCTGCTCCTTAAGTTTTCTTATAATTTTGGTTAAAAAACAGAAAACGTAAAACTTAATATGACTTATATTTTCGCTTTTTATACCAAATTAAGAAGTTTTATGGTTTTTTCTAATAAACTCAATATTATAGATTTCGGACGCGACAGACTTTAAAAATAAAAAATAAAAACCATTTATACATTTTTTTTATGAAAAAATGTTTAATAACCTTTAACTAAGGACCTCCTTTAAGAATAATAGCACAGATGTGTTTGGCCATTGTTGTTGTGTTGTTGTGATAGTAAAACGAAAAAAAATTTTTTTCGATTTCAAACGCGTCGTTCAAAATTTACAAAAATAAAGCTGAAATGGACATTAAAAACATTATTATTTAAGTTATAAACATTTTCATCTGCAAACTGTTGGCTTATTCTTAGATTCGTCATATTTTGTTTGATCCTAAAGCATCCACGGAAGCCATAACAATTAAACGAAAAATTTAACAAAATGTTGCTGAGACAAAATAGTTAGTGTTTCTGCTGTTTCAAAGTAAATTTTAAGTTGAGATGTTTGTTAATGGTTTACTAAATGGAGTTCAAAGTAAGCAATAGAGAACGCTTTTATCGAGTTCCCCGACTATTAGATACCCATTACTTAGCTTACAAATTTCAAATCAAATAGTTCCTCAGAAAAGAGATTATAGCTGGCGCATCTGCCAAATTGAATTGACAACACTGCAATCAAAGAGCGAGTAGCAACACACCCCCCGCTGCAGCAACACTATCTTATTCAGTGCAGCGATAGGGCACTTCCACTTTCCGCTGCTCTTTATGCTTGTACTCCGTTTGGAAGGGACCCCATAGCAAAAACATAAATTGCCAATATGATCGGAACACCAAGCCCAATAACAACGGTCTAACGTGTCTACATACATACTTTAAGGATTTGTGGGCGTTGGAGTGGGCCCGGCTCCGTTTTGAAATAAACTTGCGCGGCGTAGGAATTACAAGAATCTGCATGCCAATCCCACACGCAGAAAAATGGTTAGAAAGAGCATCCAATTTTTATTGGGTGAGAAAAAATTGGATGTTGTATCTATTTAAAATGAAAGATCAAATAACGGTGATGGTTATTTTAGCAATTTAAAAATGATACCTCCGATTGGTTTTTATATGCTTTGAATTGGATAAGACTGCCAACTTTGTTGGAAATGATGACTTCTACTGGAATTCGAATTTCGATTAATGAGTCGACTTTTTTGAAAGGCAGAAAAGAACTCGATTAATCTTAGTTGAAAATCGTATTCGACTGACTTTATTCAATCCTCGAAAATTCTGTTGAATTTATAGGTTAAGAGTTACATTTTTTATGAAAATAAATTTTTTCAATTCGAGAAAATTCATCATCAATACTTAAATATACCAAAATAATATCACAAAAGTACATACAAACGATTATTTAACACGTATACGTGAAAATAAAAACAAACGGCAATTAATCATTCAAATAAAGTGTTTAATTCTTGTCAATTTTTAAGCCTACAAAAATCGATAACATCGATTATTTTACAATAATCGACAATCAACTCTCGACTATCATTGGCTTTGCATTTTTCATCCCTACTCTTTTCTGTACTTTTCGGCTGATCGCCACGCTCGTTCCGGTATTGCGCGTTTTTTTGTGTTTAGTTCCTAGAAAATTCTACAAGAAGAGATGGATGAAAAAAGTTTGGAGTTTTTGGAAAATGTGGATCCCGAGAACGCGGAATTTTTGATTGTTCTTTTTAAAGGTAAGTTCTCTCATGCTCATTAATTGATGCCTGAATTTATAAAACAACAATTTTCTAATAACTATTTTGTTTTCTAGGCAACGTACTACGTAGCAAGGCAGCCGAAAACTAATTTGGAAGGCGCGAAGCAGCCAGGGGTAAATTAAATCGAAAGAGTCCGAACAGGTATGTCATGAGAAATGTCCCTTTCCATTTCTATAAAGTTTCTTTTTTAACTTTGTTCTCTTAACAGACAACAACTGTTCATGACGATGGAGTAAAGAGAGATGAACAGGGTGAAGTGAAGGAAGACCTGGAGTGGTTAAGACGATGGCTCGAACCCGAGGTTGCGGCTACTGAGCGGTGGAGTAGGACTTCCGATTATCGCCTCCATTCCTTAAGAATTACTCCTACTAGAAAAAATGCGATTCGTCGTCAAATTAATTCAATTACAATTGATTTGAAAATAAAAAACTTATTGAAAATTTTTTTAAGCAATTAAAATAGATATAATATCACTGGGTAGATGGTTTTATGAACCAACTAAATAGCAACCATATACAAAAAAGTTGGATCAAGCAAACAAGCGCTTGTTTTGTCGAACTCTCTCAGTTGGTGAATATATCCAATTCCTGTGGATCCAAGAAAACTAGATAAACCAACCAACAAATTGGATCGCTCCCCAGCACCTATTTAAAATAGTTGTATTATCCAATTCAGAGGTGTATATTTCCAACTATTTTTCTGCGTGCAAATCTCTAGTTTAGTATTTTCCGAGATCTCGACGTTCATACAGACGGACATGGCTAGATCGACTATTGCTCCTGATCAAGAAAATATATATACTTTATAGGATCGGAAGCGCTTCCTACTAAGCCTACGAGTAACGGGTATAAAAAGTAATTAAGACAAATCCACAGTTAGGCAGTATGGGTCAGTATGAAAATTGATCAACAAAGCAATATGCGTAAAATTATAGCAATGGTTTTTTTTTTGTTTGCTTGTTGAATATCTTCACTAATTTTAAGTATAGTCCATTGCTTGTCGAAAATTTGAACTTTTTTTTATTTGGAAAACTAGTCACTGTACGTCGTTTTTATATTTTTACATTTTTTATATGTGTAGGCTATAAATAACTAGGCTATATAATATAAATGGCGAGACACTTACTGTAAAGCTTTATGTTGCCATCCATGTCGCCACGAGGATTTTTGGCGACGCATTTGTAGTTGCCGTAATCGGTGCTCTGAACATTGGTAATCGTCAATCGCATGGTCGCCTTGTACGATGGATGGCCCGGGTTCGTTTCGGTTCTGAAAGTAGAGGTTACGGGGCAAGTTCAATGACAGCTATTGTGCCCATTGTGGGTCAGCCGCAACGAACGGCAATCGAAAAGCAAGGCCAAGGTGAGACTGATAAGCGGCCACTTTTGCCTAATCAAAATGCGACCTAGCCAGCAACGCACAGTGGCTGGAGGTACTGTTAATCCAATTTTCAGTCAAGTTTTTTAGTTTAAAGCAATTAATTGTGTGATATTGCTGGCAAATAGTTAACAGTCTATTAACTTAGTAACACGGTTTCATTATTATACTCGCTGTTCTTCTAACCAGGGAAATATGTTGGTTGCCTTTAACGCCGTTGCAAGATACGTGTACCATATCTCAGCATTCTCACACGCTTTTTTGTATCCAAGTCTTACAAATCTTATTAAATATTGCTCATTAATTATTTATATAGGTTATAGTCACTAAATAAATTATATTTATATTCAGACTGTTTAAATTTTCTGCATCCAACAAAACAAACAACTTGAACTGTCCTAGATTTATGTTCTCCAGCTCCGAATAAGAAATCATAATACCTGCTAATCGACAATGGAATGAGCTACTGCATGATTTAAAAGCTATAAATTACCTTAACAGAATTAAATGGCTGTCATAATGGCTAAAATAATTGAACATTAGTATTAAGTTTTCTAATGCACAATTCTTCACTTTATAATTAATTGTGTCTACTGCATCAGTTTATAAGTGAAAATACTCTAAAAATAGCACAACTAACTGGTGCTATTAATTTTTATAAACAAAAACAAAACTATATTAAATTAAATTTATAGAAATATTTTTTTAATTGTAACTCGTATGTTTGTATGGCTTCACTCCACTGCTCATTTACACGATGAAGACTGACAGGCGACGGCCAGCTCTGGTCCGCAGTCTCCGCGGACCGGGCGAGTTGTTCTCTGGCCAGTTACAATTTATCACAGTCGAAACTATCATGCTGAAGCTTAGCTTGGTGGCCTGGCTCAGTTTTTCTCTGGCGTGGCGCACCACGCCTACCGCCTGTCGCCAGACCAACACTCCCCAGAGCATCCAGCAGATGCTGGCCGCCCAACTGCAGAGCTACATGGACCCGAAAGCGCGTCCCTGCGAGAACTTCTACCAGTACGCCTGTGGCAACTGGCAGTTGCAGCAGCAGGAGCACCAGGAGCATTACTCTCCGCTCAATACGAAGTGGACCATGGATCGGGATCGTTACCATGGGCAGCTGCTGCCGAAAGATACCTTGGATTTGATAGAGCACTCCGTGAACCGGAAACTGGAACTCCTGCTGAGGCGCAGAAATGAGAGCTTCACCGAGCTGAGTTCTACAGTTTTAGAGCAGATGCGTCAATACTACCGTTCATGCAAACGCCTTAAGCCCTTTAACCTAAAGAAATATTTGCAGCTACTGACACCCAGCAACCACACGCAGTGGCCGTCTGTGACTCGAGGCTGGCGTCGGGAACAGTTCGATTGGATAGCGACCTTGGGACGACTGCGACTGCACGGACTGAACGGGGTGCTGTTCAGGGAAGATGTTTTGCCGCGATGGGACGACGCGCGCACCTACAGTATCTATGTGAACAAGCCGAGCCACCAGGAGACGCTGCCAATGGGCGAGGGCGCTATAATCGAACTACTCCTGGACATCGGACAGACCAAGCGCACGGCCAACGCCTTGGCTCGCCAGGTGGACGTCTTTGAACGAAAATTACATCGCCTGCAGCAGCTGGATGACGAAGAAGGGCCTCGGGAAATGCAACTCGGGTACCTGGCCACTTACCTGCCCCAGCTCCGATGGGCGACTTTTTTAAGCCAAGTGCTTACCGAGAACGAGCTCGATCTGCGTTCCACACTGATCATCGAGAACATACCCTACCTAGTGGCCCTCAGCGATCTGGTAGAAGCCGAAAGTCCGGACATCGTCTGCAGCTACATCATGCTCAAGTGGTTGACCTTCCTTAAGCAACAGGGTCCCGCGGAGATCTCGCGTAGTGAGTGTGTGTCCAGTCTTAGAAGGGCCATGCCCTTGGCAAGTAGCTGGTTAGTTGGTCAGCAGTTTTCCGACCCTGACTCTGAGACCAACGTCCGCGCTCTCTTTCAGCGCCTCAAGTTGCGCTTTGCATTGACCCTGGCTGAAAATCGACTTCGACTATCGCAGCCTCTTGTGAACATCCTTCAGCAGAAGCTAAGCGCAATGCACCTTCAGATGGGCATTGTTCAGCCAGAAGATGTGGAAAATGTTGAGCAGTACCACACGCGCCTCGACCTAAGTGACCATTCCTTTTATGGAAACCAGCTAGCCTTGCTTCGTCAACGTGTGGAGGCGAACCACAATCTGCTCTCCATTAGCTTAATGAGCTCTACGAGTTCCACGAGAAGCAACGTCAGCTACCTCGCCGAAAGTTGGGAAGCCAGTAATTCATCACCCTTGTATGTCAGACCCCGTAACTTGGTCATAGTGCCTCATGGTCTGCTCCAGTTGCCCGTGTGGCACCGCAACATCAGCGCTCTGCAACAACACGCCGTGATGGGATTCGCCTTGGCCCATGAACTGGCTCATGGCTTCGACATGATGGGAATGAACTATGACGCCCTAGGGAACATCATGGGGCCTGTAGAAGAGATCAGGGCTAGTAGTCAATTCCGACAGGGACTCCACTGCCTGCAACAGCAGATGGCTACCGGCTCAAAGTGGCTCGACGAAAAACTGGCCGACTTAGTGGCACTTCGGCTTACGTATGAGACTTTCTTTGGGGTGCGTGCTGATAAAAAGGAACCACGGGATCCGTTAAATCCACAGTTTAGCCAGCGGCAGTTGTTCTTTATCAGCTTTGCCCAGTTTTTCTGCGGCAGCACACCCGTCCCAAGCCTTGGGATACATTCGCGTACACATTTGGAGCACGCCGTTGACGAATTGCGTGTGACACAGACGCTGGCCAACTTTGAGGAGTTCTCGAGGGAGTTTGGCTGCGAAAAAAAGGCCAAGATGCAGGTCAGCGAGCGGTGCCGGCTCTGGTAAAGGTTCCTCCTATTAGGACATGACGAAATCCAGCAATAAATAATTCAAGCCAGGAAATAAAAATTGTCGTTTCTTGACATATATTTTTAAAGGACTAGTGGTGTTTGTATTCATTAAATTAAAAAAATTATTTTTTAAGATCAACCAACTTGGAAATAAATTAAGGCTTTTTTAACACTTTTTCGAAAATCAGCCAATATGGAAATAAAATCGTATAAAAATCCCAGCTATGGGTTGTGTATATCCCTTTTAAAGATTATTTATGAGAGCAAGAAAAATAAACCTCGGTAAGCTGAAGTTTTTATAAAAAATATTAATGTTCAATAAAATTACAATAAACTAATGATCTCAATATGTTAACAATACAGTCTTTATTTTTTTTGTTTAAATTTCGAGTTATATGCGTATATCTTGAAAATCAACTCAGTTATTCGGACTTACGTATTTATAGGACAGCTATTAGGTGTATTCGACAGATTTCAATAAAATTAAATCCAATATAATAAAAATGTACAAAAATTATAAATATCTAAAATTATTAAATCCCTCACGAGATATTTGTTTTGGTGCTAGAAGGTGCTAACTTTATTCAAATAAAAATGGGGGAACATTAAAAAAAAAATTCAATAATTAAACGAAAAAAAATTATATCGGATTGATAAAGATTTAATTTTTCAATGTTTTTTTAATAGTGAGGGCTTACTTTTATTTATTGCATTGATAATTAAAGCCGGATTCCAATGGCGCAATAAAACGCATTAAGCCTAATGCGCATTAATTTACACAGGGAATCCCATAGTGCTAAATCACGCATTTAAACTAAATGCGATAAATAAATGAGATTTAAAATCATTCGCCCCGAATATTTTTGGTAAAAATACCGAAAAATACTGATTTCTAACGATATTTTGTTCGTGCCAATTTTATAACAGCTGTTTCTTATATGCAAGGATGGCTCAATTTTGATTTCTTTTGAATATAGAATCTATTTTAAAAATGACTGAAAACAAGAGCACACGCGCCTAATTCTGGTCGCAGTACCACATTGCATTACTGCTGGATCTCTGGCAGAAAAATATTCCCACTTATACGGGGATCCTTGCCCTTTTCAGAAACTGTGGTGGTCTCCATTGCAAACCCGTCAAACAACACCATCAGCTCCCCTTCCTTGTCATCCAAGTGTCCAAATGCATCAGTCGCATTATGGATGTCCTGTTGGGCATTAAAGATATCCGTAAACTCGCTCATATTCATGATTTGCGAAAATTCAAAATTAAACAAAGCCATATCAGCTGTTCGTGCCACTCACATGTCAGAGTAACATTAGCTAAATGCTAATGCGCCAATGGAATCAGGCGCATTTAAAAAGTGTACTAATACGGCAATGGAATCAGGCAATTAAGTTATCTGAGTGATAGGACTCGAACTTCTTTTCTTATCCGTGCTACCTCCGGCGCAATAAAGCGACGGGTATGCTTCGTTTTATTAAAAGATGGTCAATTAAGTTTGTAAGTTTTCCCTACAAGCAAAAGCTGAGATATAACTATGGAGGGTAGTACATGTAGTGACGATGTGCACCAAGAGCGTGTCCATAGGGGACTACTTTAAAAAGCCACGGAATCGAAAATCTGATGTGATGGTCCGATCGTAACGAGTAATACGCCAATAGAGAGGTATCGGTAGATGAATAGGGATCGAATACTAAGAATTTAGAAAAATTAATTGTTTCAGGAGAAAGGGAGAAAGGAGAAAGATCCGATGCACCGTTTCAAAGTTATTCAAAAAAAACTTTTTTTTGGTATATCTGTTAAAAATGAAACTTTTCTCAGTTTAGAGCAGTTGACGCTGCACTGGCATGAATGTTTTCCTTAAAGTATGCACCATCAATTTGGTGTAAAAATGTAAGCAAACTAATTATAAATCAGATACTTTGCAAAAAATGAGCAAGATGTAAGCAAATATTTTAAAAACAACAAAGCTATAAAAATTTGAAAGTTATATTGGGATCCAAATAACTTTCTCGTTAATTTTTATATCCTTACAAATGGTATTTAAATTTCAGTCTCGTTTCTACACAAAGTAGCCTATCAGTTTAAAAGCTAATAGTAGAATTTGAAACGAGCCGGATCGGACGACTGTATCAAACAGTTCTCATGGAAATCGCCACTATCATCACGTTTCCGAAGAATGGGGGAAATGTGAGTCTTAAAACTCCCCACAAATCCCGATGCCGGAGAGCTGCATAGCAACAGCGAAGGAGACGAGAATGCCGGAGGAGTCAAGGGCAATAGGGTCAAACAGTGAACAGCGGACCTTGGACCGTGAACTAACGGTACCTAGCTGGACATTGGACACGGCAAGGGCACAAGGTCGAACGGTGAATTGGCGGACTTCGGACCTGCACAAAGAGGACGCACCGTGAACTAACGGTGCGGCAGTAGACCTTGACCCGATAACGCGAGCTGAAGGAGAGGAATAAGGGGACCATCACAGGCTATAAAAAAGCGTAGTTCGCCCCGAATCAAAGCTAGTGCGTGTAACCGAGACCAGTAGCAAGTTAATCAAGTGCCAAGTGCCAGGATCAAGATCGCAAAGTCGGGATGCCGAACGACTGCAAGTCTACAAGGCTAAGTCTATAAATTCTTTTTGACTTGTCTATAACTTGACATTTCAGAATTGCGCTTTTAATTTAATTAAAATTGGAAAACGATATTATATAGCTGTCATAGGAACTATCGAATAATAGAGCTGCAAAACATCATAGCTTCAATGTTTTTAAACATATACGCTAGTAAATCATAATTTTAATGTTTTTAAGAATATACACATACTTTACATTTATTGCTTTTGCATCTTACATGCATCTTAGATGCTTTAAAGAATATTTAATTCTTGCAATAGCTGCAAGTCGAAGTTTGCGTCCTTTCATGTTATTCCCTTGCAGAGGGTATTATAATTTCAAACAGTATATATATATAAGGTCAAGTAAAAGGTAATCCATTATTTGTAAATTAAATTTAAATCTTTTTCATGGTTAGAATTAACCGATTTATTTCAAATAAGCTCCATTTTTTTTACAATCGATTGCCATTTTGATGTTTATTTTATGATCTCCCTCTCATAAAATCCTTCGTCCGTATTTGCAAAAAACTGAGCCAGTCGGTTCGCAGCTTGAAATTCGGTCCAAAAGGTTTTATTTTGATAGCTCATGTTGCACCCATACATCGAGCTTTTTTGGGTATCCAGCCTTTGTTAAATGGTTCCAAACTATTTTTTGAGCGATGTTTAGCTTCTGGGCAATTGATTTAATGCGTTAATGACGGTCAGACTCAACGGTTTCCATTATTTTGTTGGCATTTTTGACGATTGGCCTTCCGCAGCGTGCTCATCCTTAAGAGCAAAATTCCCAGAACGAAAGTATTACGGCCATATAATCCATTTACATTTTCAGCTGCCTGGCTTGCGTTTTCGCCTTTGTCAAAGAAAAATTGTAAAGTTATCGAATTTTTTCTTTGCGGGTCTTTACGTATATGTAAAACGTAAAACAATTGGCGCCAAAACTTTACGTATGTATATGTACATTAATACATTACAGCATACACATAGGGATGCAAATGTACCATGTATAAGAATAAGTTTTTTTAAATATATCTCAAATATAACAATGTTTGAAAATAGTTGCTAAATCGTTTTATAATAAGAACAATTTAAATTAAATAAACAGCTTTGTATTACCCCAGCTTGTGGCTTTTAAATAAATAAACATGGCGTTTTTTTGTTTTGTCTGACAACCCACGAGGGTAAGAGACAATAATATAAGTTATGATTTTGGACATTAGAAACATTTCGGATGCAGGGTTTTTTATTATCAGCACCTCCAAGCGAATCATATGTTCGAGTGCTTATCAGTTTTTTTACATCAGCTATCAGTTTTTTACAATTATTACTTGGAATAGATTCTTTGTATAGCTTTATTTATTATTTCGACTTAAAAAAAATATTTTTTTTTTTAACATATATATGAAATGTTTATAATCCGAGTTCCCTTTATATTTTTAGTTGTTCATCTTGTGTCCCTGATGCAGGAATTAAAATATCGCCTGAATTTCCGGAGTCCTAAAATATTTTAGAAGCTCCCAACTATTCTACGGCAGATTATCTATCGATACAAAAACTGTCAAATAAAAACATTGTTTTTTTTTTTAGCCAATGTGAGACACACAACAGAATATCATTGTTTACATCTAAATTTAAAGATGATTCTTTTTAGAAGAAGGTAAAACATTAAAGTTCTTATAATTCCATTGAATTTATCATTTGAGTTTTAAAAATACTAATTCGTGCTATCGTGAATGAAAAAATTAAAATTTTTAAACTTTAAATTTCATTTTATTTTTTATTTTAATTCCAGATACTAAAAACTCTACTTCTGGTGGAGGACCTTTTAATAAGGTGTAAACGCAGCAGACACATAAAGGGGAACAGTTTTACAGCTAAATTTGCCCAAAATACTACGATATAGTTATCTCTGGTATACGTTTTGTTGCCGAATTTGACCGAATGTGTTATGTGAAATCCACAGCTGCAAAAACTTTCAAATGCCACATAGAGAAATGCGCTAAGCTATAGTCTGGGCAGAGTATAAAAATTGGGGACGAACATTCGAAAAAACTGGCAAACGATTTTTATGCAGCAAGGGTCTGCAAGCCGTACTTAAGGGAAAATATTCTGACGAAACGACTGGAGAGATAACAATGGCGCTACAAGAGAAGGAATTATCGCTAAGACAGTCTTCAATATCCTTAACAGGGATAGAAAGCCGCAGCCACTTTTTAAGGTAGAGCTCAAATCACAAAATAAGCCCCTAAAGAAATACGAAGTGCACCCTACATACAATCTTCAGTTCCTGCTGCACCGCAGACTTGCAGTTGAGGAACCGCACAAACGCAGTGATCCGGTACAATGTGCGAACTGCCAAGAATATGGCGGTGTGTGAAGTTTGTAGAGAGCTTCATGACTCCGCACACTGCCCAGTGCGGCAACTGCGGTGGCAATCACACTGCTAGCTACAGAGGTTGCCCAGTTTATAAGG